GACATAGAGTCATGTCTGAGTAATGGTGTAAGATATAGAGTAATGGTTGTAGATTATAATAACGTTTGTATATAAGGAACGGTGTAGGACATCGATTTATGTCTGAGTAGTGGTGTAAGATAGTAATGATTGTAAATTATAATATTGTTTGTATATGATGTCTATAGCTGATATATAATTAAAGGCGGTTGGAAATGAAATGAAATGAAATGGGGTTTAACGTCCTAACCTGGGCTAATGAAGACCTGCATACGCCATACAGTGTGCTATGAGGGAAATTTCGCCCGGGCAGCGGCACTATCGCCTACTCTTATATCGAATTCCAACTGCCAAGGGATCTTTTACGTGCATTCCAATGTATACACGGGACCTCGGTTCTTCGCATAGGCGGCTCGACACTGCATACCACTAGATGTGTTATGGATTTTGATATTGTGCAGGGGAGGAAGAGAACAAAATTATACACCAAAAACTAAGTCAAATTTGTTTGCATGGAAACACAAAAATATAAATCCCAGAAATTCCTAAATAGCAAAAGACACAACTATTGTAATAGGTTGATGTTTGTACAAAGTTTCAGAAAGATATCTTGAACGGTTTATGCTCCGGAAACAAAATTGTACACCAAAAACTAAGTCAAATGTGTTTCCATGGAAACACAAAAAATATAAATTCCAGAAATTCCTAAATAGCAAAAAGCACAACTACTGTAATGGGTTGATGCCTGTACAAAGTTTCAAAAATATATCTTGAACGGTTTATAAGCTATGCTCCGAAAACAAAATTATACACCAAAAACTAAGTCAAATTTGTTTCCATGGAAACAAAAAATATAAATCCCAGAAATTCCGAAATAGCAAAAGGTACAACTACTGTAATAGGTTGATGTGTGTACAAAGTTTCAGAAAGATATCTTGAACGGTTTATGAGATATGCTCCGGAAAAAAAATTGTACACCAAAAACTAAGTCAAATTTGTTTCCAAGGAAACACAACAAATATAAATCTCAGAAATTCCTACATAGCAAAAGGCACAACTAATGTAATAGGTTGATGTGTGTACAAAGTTTCAGAAAGATATCTTGAACGCTTTATGAGATATGCTCCGGAAACGAAATCGGAACGGATTGACGGAAGGACGGACGGACGGGCTCCATTTCAACATCCCTCCCTAACTTCGTTCCGCGCGGGATAATAAAACATATGAACTAAAATACGAAAGATTTACAAATTTCAACAAAGTGAATACTATTGTAGCCTAGGCATTTTAGTTCTATGGCACATGGTAAATCGATTTGACGTCTATGTGAGCCATGCCATACCATACTTGGTTAAAGATACCTTATGGGAGATTAGATAAAGAGCTGGTAGTTATCACTATAATAGTTAAAAACTATAGGCCCTAGATAATATAAAAAATATTTGCTAAAAATTTCAGTCAAACTGCTCCGCCCTGAACTGCGTATTTAGCGATTGAATTTTGGGCCTAGCCTTGATCATCATTACTAAAGTTGGTACGATAACAAACATAGTCTCGATTATCCAGTTTGTTGATTTAATCAGAAGCAGCAGACCGGGTTCTAATCCAATAGATATCTCAAGCTAGCGATGCCATCAAGAGTTGATTACGTTCTGGATAAGTTAATTATTGTCTAATTAATAATTTAGATAACATTTCAGGCCTAAAGAAAGACCTGCAATTGGCAGATTTAGCTCGTGCATAATGCGATTATGCAGATTAAGTACTAAAAATCTGAACATGAACATAGTTAGCTGCAATCAAGAACTAAACGACCTTTGCGTAAAGAAAAACAAGCATCAAAAGGGACGGGTAAGGGTACCTGTCAAGTTCAATTCGATTCTGTCCCCTAATGAGGGGCGGGGTAGGGGGTAGAATTGAAAGTAGACTGACAACCCCAAGAACCAGAAGACGATCAAGATACCCTTTAAGTCAGGCCAAGAAAGTTATTGGTGACTGTTTAAATATCGATTGAGTTCATGCGTATTGAACTTGAGTATGCTAACCGGCAAAAACGTTTCCATTGCCCGTGTTACAATTTTCCAAAATTCATTTAGATACATAAATACAACTAAGACAAATTAATTGATTCTGAATATAATGGAAACATTAATCCCACTGTGAAATTTATTCTTGAAGTTATCCGTGGAAAACAGGGTCTTTTGAGCTTGGATGGGACCCTTACATCATCAATGAAAAACGGACATATTATGTACGTACATTGGGTGCGATTGGTTTTTAGTATCGCTGGATTTGATTAGAACAAGGGAGGAGCGGCAACAAAAGAGAGCCCAATGTTTTCATTAGGGTGGGTATTTCTTTGAGTATTTAAGGTAACTCTAAATTCGAGGGCACATTTTCGGAAGGGGGGACACATAACCACCCCCCGCTCTCTACCCTGGTAGGAAATCTCATCGGATTCGAGCGTTGTCAACCATTTCCAGTTTCTTTTTTGCATTTATGAGGACAGGGTAGGGGATTGAACAATGTCAATGCTAGATGTATTAGCTGTTCAAGTAATTATATGAGTACCATCTAAATACGGACACCAGCGTTAATGTTGATTTGTTACATAAAACTAGATTAATGTCCAGTCGTAATTTATCCTGTATTAGCATGTCCAGAAATATGTCCTGCGAATTCTACTGTTTACTGTTGTAACAGAGGTCACCGACTAGCTTTGTTGTAATGGAACGTCTGCTAGTCTTTCTTACAGACCATGTAAAAGACAGCGGTCCACAAAAATGAACTTTGGCACCACGGACCGTCTAGACCTTGATACAGGCTCCTCCACTTCAATAGCGTTACAACATTGTGCAATAGTGAAAGTTGCGACATTCCACATGGTATTTTTCACCGAGCTCGAAATCACAACCATGATTACTCAGCTTAGCCGCCTCATTAAAGTCGCCAATACCCGTTATTTTCGGAATAACGTTTTGCTGTTCATTGTCAAATGGTTCACTGCATATTTGACAAATAGTTGATACTCTGTCCATCTGTGTCTCAACTTTTGAATCATTTTGTGTAATAAATTCGCCACGTGCTTCAATAGACATACCCCTACGCCGCTACCGCAGTCGGCTGGAGGACCTGTGACAAAGTACTCTACAACTTTCATCAAATTGAGCACTCATTTAGGTGCTTAGAACTTTATGACCTCTGCTGGTTTTTGATAATATATGATATTGACGTTTCAACTCTGTATAAACTTCTGTTAAGGCACGAACTGACTATGATCTAATTAAACATGTAATTAATTCAATATATCATTTACATGATCTGTGTGCAACACTCGGCAGGACATCAAAGGGAATGTACTAGTGGTCAGTGTTAATGACTTCAAAGGAAATAAGCAGTGTAATCACAGATACCATAATTTGATAAATAAACAACATATATGATGATCACTCTTAACCATTTTCCCTAATTGTCGTACGCTATAATAAGCAGGAGCTTGCTGACAGTTAGGCTTGTCTACGATATTAGTGGACGTAAAACTTCTAGAAACGAACGAACGTGACAGGCAGACGACCCAAGACAACTAGAGACGAGCGGAGACGGAGAGACCGGTGTATTGACTCACACGAGTTCAGCCGCTGCCTTTGCCGAGGGGCAAAATGGTGGATTTAATATAGTTATATGTGTTCCTGTCGTAGTTTAGTTCCTGTATAGTTTAAGTTCCTGTTATTTTGTATGTAGATGCGTTATATACCTGATGTAAATAACTCATATATTTACTAAACTGATCTCTGTTATCACTAAGATAGTGTTACAGACACTCGAAATTCAATTTAGTTTATGAATACCATTGTATTGGGTCTAAGGTGGGAGTATCATTAATCTCCAATCCGTAATCGGAAATATAAATCCCTAATATAATTGGAATTTCTCTTATATTGACACAGTGAAATCATTTAATCACTAAAATATATACAAAAATGTAAATTTCGAATTTTCTCGCCAAACTGACCCCAATGTTGACACAGCGGTAACAATTATCACAAAAATTTGTATGGAAATGTGGGGGATTGGATGGCCGAATGGTTAGCACGTGCGTGCTGTATCATAAGGGCTATCATTGAGTCAACTGGCGTGGTTTCGAATCCCCGGTTGTACGTGACAAGGAGTAGGGTCGCCTGTCCAACCTCGTGGGTTTTCTCCGGGTCCTCCGGTTTCCCCCCACTGCTAAAGACCCCTACGCGCAAGCGAATTATTGAAATAAAATTAAACCATATGTTACTCCCGAAATGACCTAGTTTGTGTCGAGTGGACGTTAAACCACATTTCTCTCTCTCTCTCTCTAGTATGGAAATGGATTCAGTTACCTCAAACTCGATCATTTTATGATAAAATCTGTCATTCATCAGTCAACTAGCATAGTTTCGATTCCCCGATTTTACGTGGCAATGAGTAGTGTCTCCTGCCCAACCCCGTGGGTTTCCCCTTGGTCCTCCGATTTCCTTCCACTGCTAAAGACCCCTACCCGCAAGCGAATTATTGAAATGAAATTGAACCATACGATAGTCCCGAAATGACCTAGTTTGTGCCGAGTGGACGTTAACACCCCACCCTGGACCTCTTTATTTGATGAGAACCTAATTGGTGGTCATGTTTCACATTCGACTGAATCCGAGCAAAGACATTATCTAGCGCTAGAATTTTTTTCTTTTATTTTCTTAATTAAATAAATGTTCAATAATTAATTTGAGTACATATTATTTTGGATTAAGCAGTGCGAAATTTGATATTTGTCGGTATATTCCAATCACGCGTCGTTACTTTGAAAGATAAAAAAATAATTGCAATGTATTTCGAAAGTTTCAATATGCGTTAGTTTGCCTGCCAGTGACTTGCAGGCCTAGTGCCAAGTGGATGACAGCTTACTTGGTGTAGATTGCACTGATAGAAAGTTGGATTAACCTTAGTATCATAGTCAAAATTTCGGTATCATATTTAAAATAAATGTATTCAATTCTCACCTGGTTTAAGAGTAAAACTCCTAACACCTACGTCAACGGTCCAGTTTTCAGTTTCATTTATATTCAGATCATAAAGACGACACTCGTTTCTATTGATGTTGAATGTAAACGAAACGCACCAAGTTTTATTTTTACAGTCTAGACCACATGCTGCTGCTATTGTTTTCTGAACAGTCAATATAGGTGATTCCACTGTTTCATTGGTTTTAATTAAACTAAATTTTAACTCATAATTACCACTCACTGTACTCGATGAAGTAACTGTCCAATAATTGGTTACTATTAAACATATTGTAATAACGTAGAGCATCATATGTCATACAGCTAACCAGTTCTATAACCGAGTACTAGATGTTTATAACCAGTAGCTGAGATTTATACCGAATTGAGAATGTCATATCCTACGTCTGAACTTAACTGTGGAAAGTTACTGAAATAATGCCTTCTCCCACAAGCTAGCATTGAATGTCACAGCGCAATCTTGATTCTGATTCTACGCGCGCATCTGTGAATAAATGGGATTCGTTGTTTGAAGTACATCTACTATATTGATTTCTCAAATACTTCTATAGACAAATGAATGGTTAACTTCGCAAACGACTCCTTGAAATAATTTTCTAAATGCAAGTAAATGTTATTGTCGGATGACTGCGATTACAATTTAGTACCCATCGCAACATTTGTTAAAAGGTTAAAAAAATCAGGCGGGGAGTTCTTTTAAATAGTGAGGGCCATGTTCCAAAACTATTTTTAAAATGATAACTATGTTACTATGTAAACATAATGAGTGAGTAATAAACACAATTATTACCCAACAAGATCTAATTCGTTAAATACTTACAACACACGACAACACCGACATAGTGATCCGATTACAATTCTTAACGAATACGTCCTATAGGTTATTAATCTCGGTTTAAGGTCGATGTCTGCCATTGTGAAAAACGGAAGTTGTGCTGAAAAATCGGTAGGAAGAAATCGGGATTTATCCGTTGGTATAATAGTCTGTAATATATTATTGCAATCTTATCTAATCCGCAGGGGAGAATACTACCAGGATGTAGACTGGATTAACCAGAAGCCAAGGACTGACATTCAATTTGGACTCTTCGCGTTTTTCGCCAAATGTAACTGATTAGGAATTACAGTAAAAACAGAAACGATTGATTGTAAATCAGTTTATATTACATTTATATATTATATATGCGTTACGACATATCTGTATCCATTTCTAGGTGCCAAAGAATATGGATTTAGCTTCTTTAAATATATTGTCTTTATTTATTAGTTTTATAAAAAAAAACTGCCCTAATTTTAAAATGTTGTCTTTATATATTAATCGTATTAAAACTGGCCTAGTTCAAATATATTGTCTTTAGAAAACGTTTAAATAATATTGTCTTTATTTATTAGTCGTATAATAACTGCCATAGTTTAAATATTATCTTTATTGATAAAGTCGTATAAAAATGGACTACTGTAAAGATATTGCATTTAGTGTTCAAGCGACACATAACTTCGATAAAGTTGCTAATGAGTTATAAAGTTTATATAGATTCTGTTTGTGGCTTGAAGATGTCTAGAGTTTTTGATTGTTTGATGTCTAAGGGTAGAGTATTCCAGAGAAAATGTGCTGTAAAGTGAAAAGATCGTTTTGTCTGTTGAAGTTTGACAACCTGAATAACTAAAAATGACCTGTTCTGTGATCTTAAGGTCCTAATGGATATATATGGAGTGAATAGATCTTGAATATATTGTGGCGCTTGTTTGTTGAGTGCTTTACAAGTCAGTAACAGTATTTTGAATTTAATTCGCTGATTTATGCGTAACCAATGAAGGGTTCTTAATGATGGTTCAATGTGATCCTTTTTTCTGGTTCCAATGCCAAGTCGAGCTGGAGCATTCTGAACATATTTAAGCTTCTGCAACTGCCACTGTGGTAGACCATGCAACAAGGCAGTATGGCAGTTTAGCCTTGAAGAGATTAAAGCATGAACGAGGAGTTTTAGATTTCCACACGTTAGGTAGATGTCGTGAATAGATTTTACACGGTGTGATTTATCGAATGCTTTAAAAGCAATTGTTTTTAATTAACAGATATGAATTAAATATGCAAACTGGTTGGTCAATCATTTGAAATGCACTAACTTTGTATAAGTCGATTCATTCTTGAATATAAAATAAAATGTTACTTTTTCGTAATAATTTGCACCCAAGTTTTAACAACATAGATTTGTGTCATGGAATTAAAGGCTTCTAATCGTAACTTCTGTGACTATTATACAAAAGTCATAAGATATACCACGAGAATTTGTATGGGATGAATTCCCGTACGTGAACAAAACGTTCTTATACAAACAAAATGACTATTACATAGACATAAGCCTATTGTTGATCATGGTTTAAACGACCCTCTTCTTATATCCGAGACTATTGATCAGGTTTAAACGATCTCCTTGTGATGTCTGAGATTCGGTGTAAACAGAGTGCACTGGGGCCTTTACACAAACAAAAATTTTAATTGTCGATGCAATTAAGCATAACATTTTAATTAATGATAGGATAGTCGCATTTCCACCCGATTGCTTCTTTGTAGGCCCTATTCTTTTTTTTTTAACTCTGTTGTACTTAAATAAGGGCATTATGCCATAACTCTGTAATTAATACACTTCAATTCTTTAGCACGCCTACAATGTTTTGACCCCTATTTTTGATTACTAATTTTTACTTGGCTTTCTACTAAATTTTAGTAGAATGGCTATTATTTTATCTAAATGGCTATTACGGTATTTTCCTTCAATGTGACTACATTTATATTTCATGTAGCACATAGCCGATCATCACTCACACTAGTAGTATACAGCGTTTGGGAAATATACTCCTATTGTTAATTCGTTTTTCATTTTGAGTGAAGTCAGTGACTGTACAGCGCAGTAGATGCTTACGACTAACCCCCGGATCCATTCACTTGATCTGATCTGCACGTTTGTTGTTTGTGAATTATATATATTGTGTCTTGTCCGTAGATTTATGTTGTATATCTGTGTGTGGTGCAGCCCTCCTGCCCCTACAATTACACATAACAGAGATTTCTAAAAATAAATAGTCTTGCTTTAAGTGTTAATGTATCGTGGCTAAATTGTTATATAGACATACATGATACGCTGTTTGAATATTATAAATATTTTAAAACAATCTCTTCGATTCAGTTATATTCCATTGTTCTATTAAAACGGTTGTTTAACCATTTGTCACAATTTATTGATCTTTAAACCAAAATTAAATATTGAAAGCATGTTTGGATGAAAAAATGACAAAAACAAAATTTCATGATATTTACGAAAGGTTTTGCAGTCTAGTGTTTTAATTATTTGTTTCTGTCGGGGAATTACACTTATAAGTGACAGAAACAAAAATACATTAATTTCAACCAGTGGTGGCCAGGCAAGATATGCCCACATTTTGCCAGAGATGGATTGAGAACAAGCTAAAAAGAACATTCTTGGTAATTTAAAAGTTGAATGGATGAATCTAAATTTCGAATTTGCCAGATTTATCAATCTTAATATGTTATTATTACATGTATTATTATTATTTTTCGATTTATATCTCGCTTCATTACGCATGAGTATTTTGTAACTTTTTCCTCAGGGAAGAAATGAAATGACATGAAATGGGTTTAACGTGTTACTGTTCTGCTCTGAACTGGGCTTATGAAGACGGGCATACACAATACAGTGTGCTATGAGGGAAATTTTGCACGGACAGCGGCACTACAGCCTACTCTTATATCGAATTCCAACTGTCAAGGGATCTTTTACGTGCACGCCAATGTGTACACGGGACCTCGGTTTTTCGTCACATCCGAACGACTAGACAGCTGTCCTTGCCAGGCCCTCGTCCTGCATCACTGACAAGGGGGAACCACGTCGGAAAATCTGGATGAACTTTCTCGGCCAATGCAAGGATCGAACACCCGACCTCCAGGCTAGCGAGCCAGCGTCTTACCCACTTAGCCACGTGATCCCCGTCCTCTGGGAAGAAAGGTATGTTACAAAGTGACAGATATTAAAGATAGATGTCTTGCCATCTTGAGACATGAAAGCAGAATTAAGAAAAATATCCATATGTGGCGATTGACACCCATGGTTGTCTAGATGACACTCATTAGTCAGTACCATAATATAAACTTATAGCTGGCACGAGTTACTTAATGTCCTTTGTAAAGCAATTTGTACTGAATGCTTAATCTGCCTATAGCCAGATGTGTAATCTTGTGAGATTCTGATGCCTTCCGCAATGATTTTATGCATTTGGGGCATGTTCTTTTACCAGGTGGAGAATGAAACTTGAACGCTTCGGCTGCTCAGACTTTCATCTCCTTTTCTTTGCTACTTTCAAACGTGCCATTTTGACGGTAGGTTGAATGCCAAACATCAAAAACTAAAAGATCAAATGTCGCTGAAGACTGCTTACAATCTGCATTGGTATGTTTTGCATAGAAAATACCGTGCTGAATGGTGTAAACAGGAGAAATCATCGCCTGAACAAACCCTTACCCATTACCCAGCTAGTGTTCCCCGCAATTTTTATATGTGGCCTAGTCTGACCCATGACCCACCTACAGTGCTCCACGTGTCTGACTCGGGATCTATTGTGATCCACGACCAAGCTAGAGTGTCCCACTATATTCATGCATGACCCCCACAACGTTGAAGCGTTGCCTAGCCTGACCCACGGCCCACTTAACAATTTTTATGTGTGGTCTAGGATTCTTTTCGGTAATTAGTGTTGTTTGTTCCGTTATGTAGTAATTATTCGGTATTTGTTGGGTTTGTCGTTTTTTTCGGTAATTGGTATCAAAAACGTTTTCTCCATAATTTTCGATATTTTTCGGATTTTTGTTTTGGGACTTTTTCGGTATTTTGACACTGCTAATAATGCTTATCTATCTGCTAGCTTTCTAACAAAGGGGCTCCGAGAATCATACCCATCGGATTCATTTCGAATTAACTCTATAAATTAAAATGACACCCTCCGTTCTAGCCAAATGTAACTGAGCCGATTTTTCTGACTAGGTTAACATGATTTTATGAGTTCTGTCCAGTGTGAAGTTTATTATCCCACCTAGTTCGAAAACCTTTAGCAAACGTGATAGAGGCCGTAGGTTCTTTTTTGTTTTTATCAAATTTGGTCAACGTCACAGTTTTCCTTTCTGATATACTGCTGAATGTGTTGGCGTATTTCCACATTTTCAAAGTTTTTCTCGAAGACCGTTTCCTAAATTGTCACCAACTTAATGCTGTGGATAAA